TTAGCATTATCATTCTTGGGAAAACTGTTGGAAACAAATTTGCTTTTGCTATGAAGTCTTTAAGACTAGGTAGAGATTAGGTTTCGTAAACCGATTTCAAAAGAAGTTAATCTTCAACCATATATCTGGGGGATTAATTCAGCATAATCTGTAAAGATGATTTTGTTGAGCCAAAAACAGTATATGAGATTGATTTTGTGTTTCTGTGTAGGAGACGATGCTGAAAAGCTGGCCTGAACAAAAAAAATTTCTTCAGACAAAAAAAAAAATCATATTTGATCATTTGTTCAGATTTTCTCATAGAAATCTAAAGGTTTATTTACTGAATAATTGGAAAATAACGTTTTTTTTTTGTTTTTTTTTTTAAATGACAGAATGAAATGAATCCAAACATCACCGTAATGCATCAAGAGAGAAACAAATATTATTGTTCTCCCGGTGCATTTCTAGTGTATCTTCAGGTTTGTTTATCAAGTTTATCCGTTTTTAATTTTAGAAATTGAATTGATTTCCCGAATTTGATTGAAGATAATCTTATATTTTAATTGTGCACCAGTTTGTTCTTCCATTTTGTTTCCTAAAAGTGTATTTCGCTGTTCGTGTTGAAAAAGAAAGTAATTTTATCGCCAACGTTTGATGTCTGACGAAGAAATGGTTGAAAGTTTCGTTAGATATTTGCCCCTTTTAGAATTAAGATGCTTACACCAGTTCAATTTATGACTATGATATATATATATATATATATATATATATATATATATATATATATATATATATAAAAGTGAACATTGAAGTCAACACTTCGTTAGGCCTGACACAATATCTTGAGTGTCTAGCATGAAACAGCCTGTCGCTTCTAAGTGTTGACTTCTATGTTCACTTTTTATATTTACACACTCTATCTCTGATACTGAGCACTTTATCCCATAAATATAGCACACCTTAAGAGTATATTTCTTCATATATATATATATATATATATATATATATATATATATATATATATATATTATGCGATGGATAAATTGCCGTCTAAATTACGCAAAAATGAAAATAACATTGATATCTGATTTTAACAGTATATTTTACAAAATTACACAAAAGTATCTTGAAATACTAAAGAATAAAATTTATTCAAGAAGCCGTCATTGACTTCAACCACGGCCTCTAGACGACTTTGGAATCTCTTGCAATTCTTCTGGATGGTCTGCTTATTTAAGCTGGTGAATACTGGTATAATTCTTGCCTTAAGTTCATCTTTGGTGTTATAAGGAGTTTTGTTAGTCTCTCACTCAACTTGTCGCCACACATAATAATCTAGGGAGTTAGGCAGCCAGATATAAGGGATGATGTGTTCGCAGTAATTGTCTGACATCTATGACTGGGTTCGCCTGCTTGCGCGGCATGGTATATAATTCTGTTGCCCAACATAGGGTCTTCCAGTAGTCACCCTCCTGACTCAGGGCAGCACTACCTTCTCAAGGCACTTGATGTAGGCTTCCTTATTGAGTCAGAAGTCTTCACCATCAAATTCGGGAGTTCTTTTTTTGTCAACGATCAGAGTGAGTTTTCCGAGTTTCGTACCTTCGCAATAACCAATTAAACTCATCCAACTCTTTCCGAATCCTCTGCACTCTCCTCAGATTGACACCCAAACATTCGTATTGAAACTTCCGGTGCGAATGCCAAATAATTCACCATGCTGTTTTCAAATTTTTGGCGAAGTGAATTGCGACATGGTGGTCTTTTTCTCACAGACGCTGCCCAACTGACCCTACTTTACTGTGCAGACATCAAGATAAAAAAAATCAAACAACGCGCACGCGCGAAATTAAAAATAAAAAATGGCAACAGTTTACCCATCATACTATATGTGTGTGTGTGTATAGATAGATAGATAGATAGATAGAGAGAGAGAGAGAAAAGTGTATTATGATGATATACACTCCATCTAAATTTATTACACACACAAACACGTGTATATATATATATATATATATATATATATATATATATATATATATATATATATATATATATATATGAATATGCATAATATCCAACTTCAATAACATTCCATAGAGTTTCATACAGTTTGATTTGGTTTGGTTTGGTTTGGTTTACGGCATATCAACACTTCAATGGGTTATTTCAAGCTGACAAGAATTTTATTGCTGTTAATATTTTTTTCAAAAATGTATTGCTGGTAATATTTTTTCTCCAAAAATTATTGCTGGTAATATTTTTTGCAAAACTGTATTGCTGGTAATAATTTTTTACAAAAATATAATGCTGGTATTGGGGGTTAACTATTTACCCATAGCTGGGGCCCTAACAGGTGCTACCACCCCTGAGAGCATCAGCAATTAAGAGGTAGTTCCACGCTTCTCAAAACCTACCGATCAGAGGCCTTGTTGTTGGATGAAGTTTATCGTCTTACTCAGGACGCGGATGTAGTTTATCGTCTTACCCAGGACGCGGATGTAGTTTATCGTCTTACCCAGGACGCGGATGTAGTTTATCGTCTTACCCAGGACGCGGATATAGTTTATCGTCTTACCCAGGATGGTTTCATGCAGTTCATGCAATCTTCAGGTGTAGTGTCTGACCGTTATCTGTCGAGTTTTCGTGATGGTGATTCAAAATTGTGATTACAAATTTGTTTATTTAAAATATAGAATTAACTATTAATAATTTATATCGTTCAACTTCATTCATGAAATATTTTAATTGTTAAATAAGAAATAGTTTGTTACATGTATATATTTAAATAATGTTTTCATCTTTCAAAACACGGCCAAGATATTGTGTCCATATATAGTTGATATTATTAATTGTTATTTTTTTTGCTTTTATAAATAAGGCTTCAATTATTTTTAGCCATTTTTTTTTTGGCATGTAGATGATGCTATTATATTTGTGTTGTCAACAAGTATGTTACAAATAATGTCCGGTAGGTATCCATGAATATTTAAATGAGATGTAATTGAGCTATGATCAGAAAGGTTAAAATATTTCATCCTTGAAAATGGCTAAATGTATAGCCGAAAGCACTCGGATTAAAAGAACATTCGGACAGTTTTTATAGAATTTATCATCTGAAAAGAAAAAAAAATGCATGAACTGTGTATGAAAGAAGGATTGCTGCTTACATATACACACGCACGCGCACACACACACACACACACACTCTCTCTCTCTCTCTCTCTCTCTCTCACACACACACACACACACACACACACACACATATATATATATAGTTTATGAAAAACTAGGTAATCCGTATGGGTAAACCTAAGGAGGATAAAATTCAGTGAGCTCAATGTAAATTCAGAGCAAATAATTTAATTTTAATAATATATATATATATATATATATATATATATATATATATATATATATATATATATATAAGCAGTAATCGTTCTTTTATAAACTGCACCTCTTACTGTGTAACTCTCTAACTCGAGTGACTCTTGGGCCTTGTACAGGGTGAACATTATTTTAAATATTTACACCATTTACATTGTTCGGACTGTTGTTCTCATCTTTATTGCCATATTTACAACGTTCCGGCCGTTGTACGCTCTTGCCTTCTTAAGGTGATATTAGTTTCTAACCGAACTATTTACTTTGTCCACGCTGGTAGATTGTTCTAATTTCACGTACCATGCCTTTTGGATATCTCAGTATCAGTTATTTCCCCTTGGTAACTCAACTGTCCAAGTTTTTTCCCTCTGCTGTGGCCGGGTATTGAACTCACAAGTCACCTTTAGGTTCCTTAAACCAAAGCTTTTATTCATTGGATCATGTATAGAAATATAGACAGGTTATTGTAAAAATAAGAATGTTTCATTGAATGTGGCAGACAAAGAAGTTTATAAGTTTTTATTCAGTTTTCTCTAGAGTTTTTTTTTTTTTTTAATGAGTTTTAAATTAGTGTCAATATTGTTCGAAGAAATTATTGTCCCAAGTACTTTCGGACAATTCGTTATTTTCAAAGGAGTTTTCATTGGTATATTTTATTTTCCAAGCTTCATTCTGTAGAAGTAGTAGTAAATCTAAGTCGTGCTTGATATGAGCTAATGTACTAATTATATAATATTATCCCTATTAGTTGTTTTCAGTTAATTATGTACTTGCTTATTTAGAAACCAATCGAACAGACGCTGAGAAATATAATTGTTTTAGATGCAATAATCACAGGGCATTATAAAGTCCGATCGACCGGGTCACATATTGGTGGCAGTGACTAAGAGTCAACCCCAGAACGCCCCAGTAGATGTCACAGGGTAGCTGTTTCCCGAGATGAGACTCTGCCCTTCGACATAGTCTCGTCATTTACCTCACCGCGAGGTAGGATATGGTACAAGGCCGTAGGCTCGGGCAAAAAATCCACGTAGACCCCGTAAAAACGCGGTCGGGTAACTGCCTACAGTAGGTGTCACAGGGGAGCTGTTTCCCCGAGATGAGATTCTGCCCTTCGACATAGTCTCGTCTGGTTTCTTCTCTGTCCGAAGGCAGGGAATTCGACGTTTTGATGCTTGCTGGAAAGCAAGGTCATTTATCTCAAGGGCGAGGTAGGATACGGCCCAAAGCCGTAGGCTAGGGCAAAAATTCCCCGTAGACCCCGTAAAAAAGGCGATCGGATAGCTGCCTACCAAACCAGACGGGACTCTGCCCTTTGGTATAGCCTCGTTTGGGTTCCTCTCTGACCGAAGGCAGAGAGTTCAACGTTTTGATGATTGCTGGAAAGCATACCCCCTGAGACCAACACCATAGAGGCTTATATTACTACTGGAACAGTCCATTTAATAGAGGTGTATCACTTCTTTGTATACTGAGAGTCATCAGTTTGTTCCCTACAACAGAAAGAAAGCTAGAGAGAGAGAGAGAGAGAGAGAGAGAGAGAGAGAGAGAGAGATGTAGCACAAATTAAGACATATTTTAATCCTTTTATTCTGTTATTTACTATTTGCAGTTAACTGGATATTGCCCAGATCACGTGAAATGACCAGTCTTATTCGTATAGAGTTTATCTTACCAGACGCCTATATTATAAACGACTACATCGACTTTTTCACTGACAAGAAAGATTCAGAAGATTTCATGGTGAGTGAATAAGCTGATATTTTATTGTTACTAATTTCTTTGTCTTAAATACAGGAAACAAGGATTAATCCAAGAATTATTCGAATACTCCTTTGTTGTTTTCGTTATAAAACTCTTACCGAAAATTTTCTTTAGGCTTCCTCAGAGGAAAATCGTTTCAAGTAGTCTCTAAATGTCACTAAAAGTTCCTTATTTTATTGTATAAATTTATGATAATACATGCACGAAGTTCTACAAAAAATGCGAGGTGCTTAAGCCGCGAAATGGTTTTTTCAAAATCATTTCACCCTAAGCAACGCAATAAAGCCAGTAAGATGCAACGGGTTACTGAAAATGAAAGCATATGAGAAAATTCATTATACAGGAGAGCGGGCATATATATATATATATATATATATATATATATATATATATATATATATATATATATATATATATATAACATTAGATTAATCATATACTACACTAAATCTAGTATATCCAACTTAATTATTCGCAGTGATTCTTTCCCCCTCCCCGTTAGTGATTTGCAAAAAACCAACATAGTTTACAAATTCAAGTGCGCTTTGGGAGATTGTATCTCCAATGGATTAAATAATATTTATGTTGGTCACAACACAAACTCGCTTTCGCGACGCCCGACTCTACATTTCAATGATAACTCTAACATTTTTAGGCATTTAAAACAACATGCCTGGCCGCGTACGCAATTCCGGAAAATCCTTGTTGAAAACACAACTATACTTAAACATGAAAACAATAAACAAAAACTAAAAATTCTTGAAACTATATACATAAAACAGTTGAAACCTAACCCCAACAAAATAAACTACGAAATATCCACAAATATTCCTAAATTCCTATAATTGATAACAGAAGCCATTGGTTTATACCAACGGCTTCCCATACTTAAATACCTCTCGTTTTCACACTCGCGTAGTCATTTGTGTCGTCACGAGCTGCGATGCGATTTTCGCTTCCGCGTCTCGTATACACGAGTTTGTCGTTGCTTTGAAATTTTTCATGCAACAAAAACAGACTATCATTATTGTTTCGTCCGTGTATTGTTTGATATATTGAAATGTAATTGTCATCTTTGATAATGGCTTATGTAAGCCGAAAGCTTAGATAAGATTTAAACATGTATCAATACGGTGATTTCCTTTCGTCTTTCAATGATAATGTTATTAAGCTTATCAGACAATATGAAAGGAACTTACTTAAAATAAATAGACAAAACTTGTCTATATTAGTTAATGAAACATGCATCAATGGAAAATTGCTGCCTAAATATACACAATAACATAAGGTAATTTTAGATTTTTTTTTGCTGTGAAATATATATATATATATATATATATATATATATATATATATATATATATATATATATGCGCTGCACTTACTGGAAAGCGCTCAATGTCGGTGATAGAACTAACATATTCAGTCATATGGATATGAGTTTGTAACCCTGGGTTTCACGCTTTTGCACTCATCAGACAAACTGATTTAACTTTTATTATTTATTTTATTATTTATTATTGATTATTCTCTAGGGTCAGACGTCATTAGATCTAACGTGACTTTGACCAAATCGGCCACGTAAGACCTCTTGATCAAACAAAGCGTATATATATATATATATATATATATATATATATATATATATATATATATATATATATATATGTGTGTGTGTGTGTGTGTGTGTGTGTGAAAATGGAAAACATTTCATTGAAAATAGATTTGATTACGCTTTTCGCTATAAGGCTTTATCGAATCCCAAAATGATAGAAAGAAATGTCTGTGTGTATGCTTAAATAATGAATCTTTGCACCTTTTACTTAAGCTGACGTTCCTTGTGATTAAAGAAGAAAGAAATTGAATGACTTCTAAAAAGGTTGTTCGTATTTATTCATTTTTTTTCCCTTTATAATTCTTATTCATATTGAAAGTTGTTAAATAGTTTCCCAGCATTTTTGTATCGAATTTAAGGCTAATCCTCGTCTCATTTTCAGAATGACTCGAAAGCAAAATTCATTATTTAAACAAACACACAAATACACATACACACATTTCTTTCTTTCTTTTTTGGATTTGATGAAGCCGTAAATTCCGAAAAGCGCAATCAAATTTATTTTCAATTTCTGTATGCTATTTTTAAAACCACACACACACACACACACACACACACACACACACACACACACACACACACACATATATATATATATATATATAATTTAAAGAAAAACAAACCACTTTAAGGCTCCATTGTAATAATTTATTTCACCAGAGAATTTTATTTTTCTCTGGATCTTCAGACTTCACTTTCAAAAGGTGAAACGAAAAATGAATTTAAAATAGTATTAAGTTTATATAAATTGACATATAGGGTGGTGAGGGATGGTATGAGAGACATTGTCGACATTAGAGAGAGAAGGGAGAGTATTAAGATTTATTTTTATGTCTCTTTTTATTATAATACTTATTATTGAGGAAGGAGGGGGTAAGGATCAGACATTGACCTCCTTTAATCGGTCAACACAACGGAAATGATATGGGAAAAGAAAAAAAGAAAGAACGGAAAAAGAAAAAATGGGGAAGTAAAGAGATAAGAGATGTACGTAGGGTTTTTGGAGGAAGGGGAGGGGTGGTATAGCTTTAGCAATTTAGATAAAAACAGATTTTAACGATTGATAGTAATTTAAATGCTTAAAAACTCCACAAAGAAAAAATATATATATTGTTTGTGTGTATGTGTGTTATCCTAAGTTTTGGAAAATATGAACGAAAAAGAATCGGCGTCGATGGACTCTCCCTATCCGGTTACCAGACATCCTTTACAGCATCTGCAAAAACAAAACTTTTTTGCATGAACATCGTTACCCATCGGAGGACTTGCAACAAACGTTTTACGCAAAAGACATTTATTTTTAACACAATCACGTTCCTTGACAATGCACTTAATTCAGTTGTTAATATAATAGGTAGAACATTATACAGTGGATAATTTCAATCATAATTCGGTTAATGCGTACATGCCAGGCCACATATTTACTGATGTATAATTCAACAAAATAAGTCGTCTAAATAATATTCTACGTCATGGATCTTAGGCGATAAAATAAAGATAAAATTGATGATATCAGAGACGAAATGATTATTCGTCGCCCACGGCATCTATTTAAATGCGCTTGGTAGCTTTCAACTGGATAATTTTGTTTTCTCCGCAGATTCTCCTTCGATGTCTACATGTAAATAATATTAAGACTATAATGGCATAATTATAAGATAAAAGAAAAAAGTTACTCTGACAGTTCATCTGTCTTTTCTTCAACACACACACACACACATACGCACGAGGTTTGATAATTTAATTCTCGGAATGAAATCGAACTCTCGTTAGGGTAAGATATCAGGCAAGTATTTGTACTCGATCCCATCTAAACAAGTTCCAACTCGCGTTTTCTTGAGACGAAGTCTAAATGAGTCACCTGTTGCCGAGTAGTAGTGGAAATTTTATGTGTTTATGCTATATCATTGACGGAAAATACGAACCTAGAGCAGCGATTTAATATTAATTTTTTTATAAAGATTAGCGAATGTACTTCAGTGATGTATCATGCGTGATGCATGACTTTCGATACATGACTGATGAGGCAGATTTTTTCTGCAGTATGTTGTCATTTCTTTCTGCGGTAGATCAGTTGACATCCAACGCGGTCATTCCTGCTATTTACCCATAGCTGGGGGAGAAGAAAAGTATTCATAGCACGTAAGTGAATATAATGGATTCAACTGGAATTCGAACTCAGCTCTCTGATTCCTTAATCCGAGCCGCTATCCATTACTCCACCGTCGAAATAAAAATTAAAATAACTTATAGAATTTTAATGTGCCGTTTGTTTCTGTTTCATAAATAAAATCTGTTGTAGGATTGATGTTGTTTGGTTTATTTACAAAATCGTTTTGAAGAGATATATTAACAAAGCATGATCAGTATATCTAAAATATATTGATTGCTTAAAGCAAAATGCACTGGAAAGGATCAATCTTTAGATATTTTAAATCAGAATCATGCATTTATTTATTTGGTATCCCCCACAACTCCAGGAGCTGCATATTGTCTTGTTTTATGCGTGAAAATTCTATACAAGAAAGGAATATCCTACGACTGATGAGGCATAGATGTTAGGCAGTAATCGATGGTGGAATAACATGTTTTTAAAGTTGTTTGATACTTTCTGTTAAAGCTACGCTAGAACAGCCAATAAAGCTTGTAATCCAATACTCGAACCCTTTCCCGGCAAAATAAACATCCACATGATACACATTAACATTTATATATCAGCAAAAATAAATGGCACAAGTATATTCATTATAATCCCTTTATCAATAATTGTGAATATTGCATGAAGATTTTATTTTCTGACAGCTTCCTCATGGAACATTCTGCCCTGGTTTAAAGATTTCAAACATGAAACCTCCTCCCATTTCTGTACCTTTCTCGATGAAAACTGAAATTGTAGATATGGGAGAAATAAAAAATGAACGGGTAAGTTGAAATATCAATCTTCTTCAAGATTACATGATCAATACACAAGTTTTGATGATTATCTTTTCATACAAATGATTATCTATGTTATAGGTCAATCGGAATTAAATTTGAATTTTAATAATATTATTTACATTAAGAATATACATATCTCTCTCACGCTCTCAATATAGACACACACACACACACACACACATATATATATATATATATATATATATATATGAAGAAATATAATCTTAAGGTGTGCTATTATATTATGGGATAAAGTGCTAAATATCAGAGATTGAGCGTGTTTAAATATGAAAGTGAATATTGAAGTCAACACTTAGAGGCGACAGTATTAAACAATATTTACCGACCTGAATGTCCGAGAAATTTTCATAGAAAATATGCGTACTCTTATTTCGATTTCTCGGCCCTTCAGACCGGAAAATATTGTTTAATACTGTTTATTACAAAATAGATCATTTCCTTAAATATTTGTATCTATAAAAAAGAATGTACAAACATAAAAATGTCTTAAAATAATTGTCAGACTTTGTCCATTTCATAATGTGTGACGTCATTTGTTTACATTTGGATACGTATCGAGCAGATATGAATGTACGTGAAAAAATCATGCAAAATTTTAGTTTAAAAACAGTAAAATCAACCTCACTCGCCGAAACGCCCCTCTGTGGCGAAATCGGTAAAAGCGTGTCAGGCTATATGACGGCTCCGTATAGGATACAGGATCGATTCCTGTCGCAGGACGCAAATTTTCTATGAGAATTTCTCGGACCTTCAGGCCGGTAAATGTTGTTTATTATAAAATAGAGCATTTACTTAAATATTTGTATCTCTAATAAAGAATGTATAAACATAAAAATGTCTTAAAATATATATATACTTTATTTTAGAATATTACATCGAAAAAAAAAGTCAAAATCCTTATACAATTGCAGTCGTGTTTCAATGCGTATCAAATGAATCTCAGCAGGTGATTGTAAAATGCTGACGTGTGAACTATTTATTCAGATTTAAAAGCAAAATACAGCCTCTTTTTAAGAAAAAAGAGAAAAGGCGAGGTGATTGTAAGGTTTGTGGGCTTTACTCAGATCAACCAATCGAATATGATGTACATATAAATTGTTCACATAAATAGTTTTTTTCGATGTAATATCCTAAAATAAAGAATATTTGCTCTACTTTGTATTGAACCCTCTTTGAAATTAAATGCTACGAACGTTGGAATTGTACGCTATTCGTTCTCATCTTATATATATATATATATATATATATATTATTTGTTTAATCGTTATTCTTTAAATGGGTATTATTATTTGAGTAGATGCTCTGTTTTTATTTAATTATTAAACAGTATATTTATTTATTTATTTCTACCGGTCTGAATATTCGAGAAATCTCGTTAGAAAACTTTGCGTCCTCCGGCAGGATTCGAACCTGCGTCCCTTAGGGGAAACCGTCATTATATCTGACTTGACTTTGACCAAATTGGTCACGTAAGACCTCTTGATCAAACAAAGCATATGTGTGTGTGTGTGTGTGTGTGTGTGTGTGTGTGTGTGTGTGTGTGTGTGTGTATTCTGAAAAGTATGTCTGTTATCCATACTTTTTGTTTATATCCATACTTTTTGTTTATATTATATGATATCGCCATTTTACACATGACAAGGCAATTTCATTTGATGAATATGTACACTTCAACAAACATTCATAGAAAGTCAAAAGACTCAGACGAAATAGAATTTCAACTTATAGAAGGGTTGCAGTGATCAACATTTACAATTTTATAAATACATTATATACCATTGAAAATAAATCCTTAAGTTAGAGTGCCTTGTGCCATCTTGTTGGAAATGTTTAAATGTCTGTTATTAATTATTTTAATTTAATTGTTTTTGTTTGTTGCTTTTGTTTCTGATGTTTTCACCATTATTCTACCCTGTATATTTTTCTCCTCTTTACTATTAATTATTAAACTTTTACTTCCCCCCCGCCACGACCAGAACGATTTAACCTGTACTTTAATTTGCTTCATTAAATCATGTGTCCACGTGTGCGTGCACATATATATATATATATATATATATATATATATATATATACTCACAAAAATATACACACACATTACACACACTTTCAAAAAACTAAAAAGATCTCATACACACACATCCCATTCCCAGCAACCAATAAAACTGTCAAAATGACCAAGGAGGGAATTCTGAAAGTCACAGACCTGCCATCCTCTATCTTAAGAACAACTTGAAAAAGGCCGTTTGACCAACACAAGGACTCACCAAAATTAACAATAAAAACAAATGAAAACTACAGATAAAGTTGACTTTCATCGAAGATAATCATTTACTCCTGTAGTTCACTGCTACTAATAAGAAGGAATTTTTTTTCTCCTAATGATTACCATGCTGACCGAATCTAGTCAAGGAACCTCAATGAAATAATAAAATAAATAATATTAATATACAACTCACTCTGAAAATTTAAATATTTTAATGTGTTTTATTTTTCAAAACATACTCTCTCTCTCTCACACACACACACACACACACACACACACACACATATATATATATATATATATATATATATATATATATATATATATATATATATATATATGAATGACTTGTTATTTTTGGTGACTGACGTATGGCTCTCATAAATTCCTTGATCGAAGCCAAACAAAAAGAAGAAAGGAAAAGTAGAGCCCAAATTGAAAGAACCTTCACCCCAACCTCAGCGATACAAAATAAATTTAATCCTGGTACCATCACCACATAAAGCAAATAAAGGATTACACACTCCTACTATGTCCGTTGAACAGGAATAGGGGTCCATCCCTTGTTTCCTGATCTGGATATGGTTTACCGGTTCTTTCTTTTCTCTACCAGGGCCACAATGCTTTAATTGTCTTAACTTTTGGGTCATCAGACTAACGAGTGGCTGTGACTTTCCACTGTGAGGGTTGGCAGTTTGCTGGTTGCTGCTTTCGGTTGGTTGTTAGAAGCCAGGACTCTTTGGTAGCGCTTAGAGAGTCTGCTCCGATCAACAGTCGCAAAATATCGGGGTATCTGTAGTGCCATGTCGCATATGAGTAGGTGTCCATGCCTGTATTTCAGGTTGGCAACCCCGAGACCACATTATGCTCTCAGCGACGTAGTGGCTGGTTTGTATTGCCATTAATAACAGATAGTGACAATTATGGTGGTCTTTTTTTTTTCTTCTTTTCTCCTCAAAATGAGTCTCATGGAAATCAAAGCAAAAAGAAATACAACTAAACAAAAAAAAAAAGAAAATACCTACCCCCCCCCACACACACCATTCAACCTTTCTTTTTCTAATATTCCCGATATCCGTTTCAACATCTGCAGCGTAGAATCTTTTCTTCTGGAACAGTCGCCAGATATCTTTGCCCTTTTGAAACCAACTTGAATTCTTCAATTACTACCAATGAATTCTTGCTTCCAGGTTATCCTCTCATTTACCAAAACGATTCCAGCATTTACATGCATGGCCTTGGTGTCTGTGATCCGAGATAATCTTCCAGTGGTCAGGGAATTGCCTCGAGACACATGACTACTTGATATAATGGAATATGCGTACACCTGTGTTCCCCCTCACTGGAATATGATTGGCTGGTGTCCGTCATAAATACCGACGGACGTGTAGGTAAGACAGAGTCAAGAGCTAAGTCTATAACGACGCCCATTGGACTACGGCATTGATCTACACTTCTTACCTGCGACTACGACGCGTACCAGTCGATTACTGCTACCGTATTCTACTAGGTTATTGTAGCCAAAACCACTTAGCTACTTCGTTCAAATATATCCCTTTCTGGGACATATCACTACTCTTTTATGTGCTGCCGTCTTTCATTACTAAACTCTGTTAGCTATCTCTTTTTCCTTTATCACTCTCCCTCTTTCCAGGTCTGCAGTATATTAGGCATAATTGCTGACAGTATAGAATAGGCACTTTCTTTCCATCCATCTGCGAACATCTGGAACATTCTAAAGGTACTGATGTTGCCGGTATACAGACATTTTCCATTGCCCAATCCCTAACTCAAATCGTGGACTTCTCTACTCATTTCCCCAGGAAAACCAAGTAATAGGCTTCTCTACTTGATTTATTCTTTACTTCCCATCTTAGCTTTTGCCGAACTTCGAAATACTGCCTTCTTGGTAACTCAGACCACACTGTGGCATCCATAGATATTTCGTTCCAGTCATCCGTTAAAAAGGAACCCCCCCCTAACCATAAGACCTCTTTCCGTTACCAGCATGCTGACTGGGACTCACTCCTTGATTTTATTCATGACGCCCAATGGATTGTCATCTTCAACCTCTCATTTGAAAATTGCGCTACTAAGGTTTCTTTTGTGTCAAAATCTGCATAGACGCTTTCTCGGAAATACCAAATGGAACCTCAATCCTAACGTTCTCAGCTGACATGAAGTGGAAAAACTATATTGAATCCATTGCTAGGTCAGCTGCTAAGAAAATCGCTTCACTGTGTTGTGCCAGACAATTTTTCTCTCCGGATATATCTTATATATCTATAGGTCTACCATTCGTGCTATGGTTTTCAGGTACTTTCGGATGGAATCGACCTCGATCCTGTCCGATAATATCAAGAAGTCTCCTTCCTAACAAATCGACCATGGTGAGATTCGAAACCGGGTCTCATGGTCAGAAAGCAAACGTTCTAACCACTCGAAAGAAAGAAAGAACCATATATGCAATATATCGGTAACCCGAACAAGCCATTAATCATCCGTTAAACAATGAAACCCCGATCCATAAGGTCTCTTTCCGTTACCGGCATGTTGATTGGGACTCACTCCATGATTTTCTTCCTGACGCCTCAAGGACTGTCATCTTCAACATCCCATTTGAAAATTGCGCCACTGAAGTTGGGTCAGGGCCGCCATGGACACTTTTATCCCTTCTGGTAAATACCAGATGAAACCT